CCGTCTCCCTTGATGGCAATGATAGTGACCCCTTCTCCGGCCGAGGCATCTACCTCTGCGGATATCTGGAGGTGCCACTAGACTACACCAACAAGTCAGACGGCCGGATCGTTCGACTCGCAATCATCAAATACCAGGTCTCGGGCCTAGCCCGCGTAGGTGAGCCCGACAACGGCACCAGAAACCCACCCCCCGGCGGCAGAAGCGAGCGCACCCTCGTCATCGAACCCGGCGGCCCAGGTGGCAGCGGAACCTCGTACGGCTGGAGAGTCGCGGAGCAGTACACCAAGCGCTTCAGCGATGGCGAATTCGACGTGCTGGGCTGGGACCCGCGAGGCGTCAACATCACCCGCCCCTCCATCTCCTGCTTCCCCTACGACGTCGACAGAGACCGCTGGTCCATTCTGACGGGCCAGTACATCGAAGTGTCCGCCGACCCGGAGCGTCAGCTGCAGATTGCCGACGCGATGAACGACGCCACCTTCAAGGCCTGCTGGGAAGTCCACGGCGACCTCGGCCGCTTCATGGGCACATCCATCGTCGCGCGCGACTTGGAGGAGATCCGCAAGGCTCTGGACGAGGATGAGTTGACGGGATACCTCGTCAGCTACGGCACGGGGATCGGACAGACATACGCCAACATGTTCCCGGACAGTGTCGGTCGGGTGATCCTCGACGGGACGGAATACGTCCGCGATCATCGCGAACTAGGCGGCTTTGGGTGGACCGCGCTCGACAACGGCACCCATGCCTGGTACGACGGGTTTCTCGGCGAATGCATCAACGCCGGACCGGATCACTGCGCGCTGGCAAAGCTCAAGAGCAGCAGCGGGGAGCCCCTCGTGCTGAAGGATCTGGACAAGCGCATGATGTCCCTCCTCACGTCACTCATTGACCGCCCTGCCATCGGGTACACCGAAGAAAGCGGTCCGTCTCTCGTCACGTACTCGGTCCTCGTCGCCGCAATCTACTCGGCTCTCTACAACGCCCAGAGCTGGCCGGCCCTCGCACAGATGCTATACGAGCTCGATCAGGGCAACTCGACCTTGGCCGCTGCGTACCTGGAAGAGCGGGCCTGGCAATACGACCCGACGCTCCCCGCGACACCCAATAAGCGGCCTGCCTCGGATGAACTCGCCTTCATCGTCATCTGCGCAGATGCCTACGACGCGCCGTTGCCACCCGACGGTCTCGTCTGGTGGGAATCCCTTTGGGCCAACATGTCGTCTCAGTCCTGGGTCGCGGGCAACTCGCGCTTCTTCGATGTCTTTCCTTGCCAGCAGGTCCACAAGTACTGGCCCGAGCCGGTGGACGTCTACCGCGGGGACCTAAACCACACGCTCAAGAACCCGATCCTGTTAATTGCGGAGACGTATGACCCGGCCACGCCGCTGCGTAACGGGCGTAGGTTATTGAACGAGATGGGGCGGAACGCGAGGTTGATTGCGCATCATGGGTATGGGCACTCGTCAAGGGATACGTCTGATTGCACGGAAGGGATTGCGAAGCGGTATATTCTCGAGGGGACGTTGCCGAATGAAGCGGAGACGGCGTGCTATGCCAACGAGAAGCCGTATCTGTATGGCGTCAAGGACAAGAGTGTGAAGACTGCGGCTGATGAGGGCTGGGACCCTGTCGCTGCGTGGCGCGAGCATCAGCGAGAGATAGCTCACATGCATTTCTGAAAGTTTGGGGAGTGATGAGATCTGGGCTAGTGCGATGTACTAGAGAGCAAGCAGTGTACGTCAGTAGATAGGTACTATAATAGGAGGGACTTGAGCCGATTTATATCACAACCCCCCCTCCCAATGCCTGTCGGCTGTCCTGTATAATGTCTGCAATCGACCTTGTAAACTCAGAATTTTCCGCCTAGAGTCTTACACAGCCTCTGAAAATGGTGCTGCTCGCAAGGCATCAATCTTCATCATTGTCCCTCACGAAAGCTGCTGGGACGCCCGAGAATGCACTTGTGACGGGCGCCTAAAGGGGAAATTCTAACTCCAATCCTCTTGCGGTTATTTTTAGGGATGGAACCACCCAAGCATCCTTCGAACAACACGACAGAAGGAGGGAAAAGACTTCCACCTACTTTCCACGACACTAGTATGCTCTCTGTCTTCTTTCCGAGCACCAAAGTGCCATTTGTTAGCGAAGTCCGTGAGAAAGGCCATCATTCAGCGTATGACTGCGGTGAAGAGAAAAACGAAACCGCAGCTGATGGTCTTATTTATGATCGTGTCAAGTGTCCGAGAGAATCTATTCTTGTCAGATAGAAGACGACTTCAGAGTGTATTTATATATTTTCTTAGTTCTTCATAAGCCCTAAATCCAGAGCCCTTTAGGCTCAAAAGGTGGCGCTGAGTCTTCATCCAGCGAATAAGTTAGTCAATGTAGCAACAACTTGGAGAATGGGTCTTGAGCAATGAATGTATCGAATCTTGATGGAATTATGGGAAACTTTGAAACACGTAAGTTTACGCACTCCTGCAAAAAGTCTAGGTGGCGAGTTTTTCACTCAAGCACGATGGCAATTGTAGGTCCAAATGGCCGTGACGCGGGTGTGCCCTTCCTTATCAAGGCGTGAACACCTCGATTGTCACTAGGCAGCGATATGTAAATTAAAGCATAAGTGAGTTCGACAGAAACCTGATGCGGACGCAGTTCTCGATCAACGAGACAGTTTGAGTCATGTGAAGAGTGTTTATAAACCATGATAGAGCGGAATGTCTATGTCTTGTATGCACGAAGAGTGATAGTCTATGGTAGTTTAAATATCGCCGTATCTACTTGCAGTTGCAGTAGACACTTGAATAGAAGATTAGCAAGCCGTAGAGACTTTCTCATGGCAGGAACTTACAAATCTTGTGCAATGGCGCCGCCTCCGCCGGAGCAACCATCGTAAGCGCCACCCCCCGACTGACACTGTTTTCAAGAATCAGTATCCGAGAGCCAACTAAAAAAGTTCAAAGGAAGTTTACCTTGGCCGGGCAGCCAGCGATGCAGTCTTCCTGCGTGCTGTAGACGTGTCCAGTCCAGGCGTGTGCGGTTAGAGGCGCTGTGAGGGCGATGACGAGTGTGAGGAGCTTCATTTTGTGATTTACGTAAAGATGGGTATTGTAGTACAGACGTGGGTTGCGAGAGATCCAAGGGAGATATGTCGAAGCTTTAGTTGGTGGAAGATGCGGTCTACTTATACAAGTTGGATTTCGGAGCATGCTACATGCAGTATTAATAACACTAGCAACTGTCGACGCTTGTAAAATGCCAGATATCGGAGCCCGAGATTGTGAGTTCCCCTTCACCAGATCGTTCTACCTTAGATACTTGGGGTTGTCCCTGAAAGCTTATTAAATTGAGCTGGCAAACCAAAGTCTAATTTGTTGGCTTACGGGGCCAGTTGCTGGGAACTTACGCTGGTTGTAAGATATAACCTGGCGGTATGTTGTGGGGATATGATGCGACAGGTGCCTCTTTGGGCCGTAATACCCGAGCTCTAGTTCTATACAGCTACTCAAAGACTTTACTTTTATTTAACACGCCTTCAAATACGTGTATAGCAAGTGGCTGGCTTATCTGCTCATCTCTCAGTCTGGGCTAATCTGCTGTAAAATGAAGGCAACAACGTTGCCCGGTTGGATAATCTGTACAAGTCATGCAACCACCGGCACTACGTATACTCGTAACAATCAAAGGCTTTAGTATCCACGCGCATTACTCAAACATCTACAACCCGAGAGCGAAAGAAGACCCCGGTTTTGTTGTATGGAGAAAGCCCTGGCAATCGAGACGAGGTCGTTCACCGCACCGCCGACCTATCCGACGCAGCTCGAGCATGACTCGATGAGAGGGACAACATAGGATTGGCCAATGAATGAGCTATGAATACGACAAATGCGTATTGGGCTGCTGTTGCAGACATCAACATGGTTCGCAAACTTGGCTCAGAGCAATAGAGCATCCTGAACAGGTTAAGTTCCTTCCGACATCGCTGTTGTATTTGACCAACAGAGCATGTCGTGTATGAAGTCATGAGTGAGACTGTGTCGTCAGATTTTCTCCATTTCCAGGGCGCAAATACCGCTCAGACCAGAATTCTCCAGTGGGTACAATCTTTGCCTGCCTTGGCGACGGAGTCTCCGGTCTACCACATCAGCATCCAAACCAATAGCTGATGTTCCTTGTGTGGTCCGGAAATCCAGGACCCCTCCGAGTCATGGTATCATGCAACAGCGCGACATGTACATTCGTTCTGGGAAAGACGACTACACGTACTTAGGTGCAATTTTGCCCATAAAAGTCCCGCCGTCAATATGTGATTGTTGTGCTTTCGGGGGATTGCGGGTTTATCGAGCTGAAAAGTGTCCTCAAATCGCGTGTTGAAAGACACTTCAGAGTTTGAGATGAACGCCAATAATCTATTCACTGTTCCGCAGATATCTACTCATCGACGCATAACGTGAGGTGCGTGAGGTGGAAATAGTCTTAGCTGTTGCAATTGACGCGGATTTGCGCTCGCATGAAGCAAGAAGTTAAAATCAAGAGCCTCCAGAACGATCACGAGCTAATGCACGTATTATAGAATTCAATATCAGGAAAAACAATGCGACTCTGCAACAATTGAGCGACTCTTCTATATTCTGTTCCAAAATTTGACGGAAATCTGTCAAAATAGTCAAGCTAACTTTATTACGAAAAAGCCAACATGAAACCGAAAAGCTCGGTCAAGAGCACATCGCCATTGCGGTATCTTTCGATCTCTAAGAGGATTTTACAGGTTGAAGACGGAATGCTTCGTACACTGGACGTTTTATGTCTGATTCCTTTATGTTTGACTGCAGCTAATCTGAATCAGCCCGTTGGAAGGCTATCTGAGAGAGGTTGAGGTATTATGAAGGTTTGAGAGGCTGTGCGGCTATTAGCATCAATCTTTTCCAAATTTCAATAAGTTCAAACATCGGACTAGAGTAGCCAGTGCTTGTTGTGTTATGTCCTAATCGTACTCAAGAACTCGTCCCTCGAGCCCGTGAATAGTTCGCAGAGGAAGCGCCAGTATAATTTGTTGGTTGGTCAGCGTATTGGTTCTCAGCATCATTACTGAGGCCAGCTATACGTAACTGGCGCTGGAAAACGGACAGCATGGTGTTTTCGCTACTTCCTCGAGAAGAGTATCTGGTTGAGACGTTGACGGCGAGTTTTCGCAACATGGGTATTGATGTTGCCATGATTGTGGCTGAGATCTCAGCGCTTTCCCAGATGAAGAGGGTGCTTAATGTGTCTAGGGGAAGAAAAGGGTCAGTCTGATATGACCTCCAAGTTGATTCTTGAGGGTTCATAACCGGACGTGTCAGAACTTACATATACTTCCGGAGTCGAATATACTGCGTGATTGTGGTCCGAATAGATATAAAACCTTGACTATCCCAGTAGCTCCAGCGCTGCAGACAACATTAATCGACAAAATCCAAGACATAGAATTGATGCACCAAATGCGGAACCGAAACTTACAAGATACCCATGCTCATAGCTACACAAATGCCAATCCGTTCGTGAGTGCTAAGATGAAGAGGCCATATAATTTTCCATGGTAACAAGGAGAGAAAAATGTCCAAGAAGGCCGAATATGCTTAAGAGAGGAAAGTCAGCCACCTCAATCCTGGAAAAAACCATATGACAAAGACAACATGAGTGTAATCACCATTGACAAATATCCCAAACGGAACAGACATTTCCCGTGGCCAGCATGGCTCCGGTCCGCCAGGGCCGCATGGGTTCAGAAAGAATGGGAGCCACAGCGCGATGAAGAGGTTCATGGAGAAGATGATGAACCACAGCATCCATCGAAGCTTCCCCGTCATCAAACGCATGAGCGTGAAGGCGAACGATGTCTTGCTTAGCGCCCACGCTATGTTTGACATTACCCCGGCTGCCTTACTGATCTTGCTGTACTTGGGGACGTTCAGTATCCCCGCAAACGTAGACGCACTTAGAAGCGCGACCCGAAGATATATCATGCATGTGAACAGAACCTAGACATGGCATTAGAAGAACAGAAGAGAATCGCGGGATTGATTACGCAAAGATCCGTACTCACCCACGCCGAAAGTATGAGATAGTCGTCCGTCCCCAGCCGCCAACTTCTCAACGCCGAGACTCTCGCGTAAATCCTGAGAGCGAGAAAGGTCGTCGCGAGAACAAAGAGGACGACCAAGGACGCAATTGCTCGTATGGTTGACGACGGCAACGTATTATCCATGGTGTCCTTTCACGACGCCATTCTGACAGCGAGGTAGTAGCCGTGGTCAAGTCATGGGGCATTGAAAAGATGAAACACCAAGAAGATGGTCGGATTTCGGAAAGACGGCGGGAGCGGAAAAGAAAGATATTCAGTCACGGGCCACTAGAAGGAGCCAACCTCCCAAGCTTGGACCATTCCGTCACTGGCGTGATTCTCTTCAAAAGGGAGGCAGGGGAAAAAGCAAAATGTTGCAGATGATAGATCCCAAATTCATCTATGGCTTTCTCTTTACCAGTGAATTATAGGTGGTGACTATGTCTCCCGGGAAAGAGATTCCGGTAGTTAGCTTGATCCTCTGTATGCATCCCTTCAGTAGAGCCAAAACACCTTTTGAACACTTTTGACTCGGATTGAATGTTGATACATGTGACATCGAGCGCCTTGTGGTTTCAAGCCTGGGCAGAAAGTCTAAAGGTTAAATCCCACTCTCTACTCTATCTTGACTTCTTTTCTGTCCAAGCTTCAGCGAACAGAGTTTGGAGAGCCCTCTCGCGTATTTCTGAAGAACTGATGTGATGCTGTACCAAGATAGAGATCATGCATGTCGTAGGTGCAGTGCATTCGAGATACGTCACATTTGAAGAGAGGGCAACTGACGGATAGAACTTCAGAAGAAACAGGTAAGCCTTCCGCGGTATGCGTTCATGCACCAATTAATTAGTGGCCTGTTCAGGGCCAATGAATCGAACTTGGCCGCTTGAAATGCCGCGACAGGATGTGCGCAGGCCAAATGGTGGCACAAGCCGGGGTTCAAAGTCACTTGACTGCCGGACTCCTTACCTGTAGCTCAGACTGCAGCGACAACGGCCAAGATGCTATGGATTGTGAATGTCCTGGGTAACGAGAGGGGATTGGATGCAGCTGCCGCGCAGGGAGAGACTAGACCAAAACTAATGATACCGTGGCGCCTGCACACCTCAACCATGGTCTGAGACACTCCGCAGCATCACGTTGACTTCAGGTGCGGGAGTCTGGACTTGCGCCATCATACCTTAAACGGTCGTTGATGTACGCCAGGAACCAGAGACATTGACAAGTCATGTTCAGGCTCTGGCAATTTGCCCCCGGTCCGCTTCTCCCCAGAACTATTTACTGCATGTTCCTGACTACTAGCACTCGTCGTCTCAAACGGCACCGAATAGAAGCCCGCATGACTCCAAGAAGAGTTTTGAATTGCAATGCACCTCAGATAGCTTGGGAATGGGACTCTAGAGCAGCCAGTAATATCTTCGCTTTTCTTAACTCGCTGTCATTTCTGTCAATGTCAACTGAGATTTCTTTAGGAGGTGCCAAACATCAACGCTTGATTAGCTCTGAGGCCTAAATCCACTCAGCTGGGCTCTTTAATCCTAGTTTCTCACTAATGCCGTCTGTTTCCTGTGCTTTCTTATTCACACTTTCCATTTCAAACCCAGCCACCTTCTTGTAGACCCGACCAATGTCTTCTAGTTCGTTCTTCGGGACAACATCGTAGACATTCTCGAAACCATCGGGTGCTCTTTCCTCGCATATTTGCAAGACGTGATCCGGTCCATTTCCACGGTTTGCCATGATAATCTTGGACGTGGCTGGCAGCCGCTCCGACTCATACGCCTTCAGCGCCGCCACCACATCGTCTTGGGTCTCAACAAGTTGCTTCGCAAGAGTCTCCGCGTCGATAATAGCCTGCGATGCGCCGTTGGAGCCAATCGGGTACATGGCGTGCGCAGCATCACCAAGCAAAGTCAGGCGGCCGAAGCTCCAACGCTCAACAGGGTCCCGATCGCTCATAGGGAACTCAAAAACCTTCTCGGTTGCGTCGATGAGATCCTTCATCTCGAGCCCGCCGCACCGCCAACCTTGAAACGGCCCCTCAAACACAGACTTGTCGACTGCTTTTGTCCAGTCCGTCTGTGGCGGCGTGAGATCCTCATCATCCTTGTCTCTTATCCTGAGTTCGGCAATCCAGTTCACAAGGCTCTTGCCCTTATCTGCGGAGCGCTGGCTAATGGGATAGGCGATGAACTTTTGATCGGCGTGACCAGCCCAAACCATTGATGCTCCTGTGAGATACGGCTCACGCTCGATACAGCCGCGCCAAAGCATGCGGCCCGAGAATCGTGGCGGGCCTTCGTTGGGGTAGAGAACCTTTCTCGCGGTCGAATTGATTCCGTCAGCGGCTATCAGAATATGGCCAGTGACGCTCGACTGTCCTGCCGGCGCACCATCTCGCCGTTGCGAAAACTCTGCTGTGATGCTCTTCTCATCCTGTGAGAACCCTGTCAGAGCGTGATTGAGATTGACCGCCCCTTCGCCCAAACGCTCTTTGACGGCACTCAAAAGCAGCATTTGGCATTCGCCGCGATGAACGCTGAATTGCGGAACCGAATAGCCTGCCTTGAGACCTCGTGGCTCGCTGAGAATGGCATGGCCGTGACGGTTGTAAAAGTTCAGTTCTTGCGTCTTGACGCCGGTCTTCTCGAAAGCTTCCAGGAGTCCGAGATTACGGAGAATGAGAATGGCGGAGGGTTGCACATTGATCCCGACGCCAAGAGTTGTGAGTTGTGACGCTGCTTCGAAGATGTGGATGTCTGTGAACCCAGCGGCGTGGAGGGACAGCGCTGCCGTGAGGCCACCAATACCTGCACCAGCGATGATGATCTTGGGCTGAGGGTTTAGAAATGGCATTTTGCGGGCTCTTGAATGGCACTCGTGAAGAAGCCAACTGTGTTGTCGTCGAATAGACCGAGAAACGAGGAGCTGTTGTCAAGAAGTCATGAGGTTAGGTCATAATACAGAGAGTGCATACTAAAGCCTCCACCGGCAACTTCAAGTCTAAGTGGTTCCGAAAGTCGGAATTGGTGGAGATTCATGACTGCCGACTCTAGATGCCGCGATTTAGCAAATTCTGCAAGATCCACAGAAACTAGGACCACCGATGCAGTTTCGTTCAGCACCCAAAATCATGATTCTCCCAAGCTATTCGGCGTGATATGATCACGAACCATATTGCCACTTTGAAATTCGACGCAAGCATTGAAGTTCGATCTTGTCGCTGGGAATAGCTCCGCTTCGTTCGCTTCACCCCGCACAAATACCCCAGATCACGATGCTTTGACACCCTTCTGAACCACATGGGGATCTGGCCGAGGGGGAAAGACTCGAGACCCTGGTCCTGGTCCGGGTCCTGGCCCTGGCCTTGATCTATGAGACTAGCGGCCGAGGTCTGGGGCTGCAAGCACCCCATAAGAGAAGAAGGCGAATCCGCATGATACTCGACCACGCTCTTAGACGAGGGTTTTCGGTGCCCCAGAGATGTATTCGTCGCATCAAGGAACAAGGTTTCGTACCTGAACTTCGCTGGCGGAAATTGAGCAGCAGGCTGATTGACTACGCTTGAACGGTTGTAACCCAGCAGCTAGTGTCGGATCCTGGGCGTAGTCTCCCAGCCATTGTTTTTATCCAGCATGTACTTGTCGAAGAATCGCTGCAAGTCATCGAGATTCTCTTGCTGGTACATGTCGTGCCATTCTTGAGTCGCAGTCCAGCGCAACCTTTTGCAGTGTCTCAACAATTTGAGTAGATGGCAATACGCCTCATTCCAGATGGAAGAAGTACAACTCTTCAGATGATCGAAAGAGCTAGAATGCTCTGACTGATCCCTCGATATATAGCCCAGTTGAGAAGCTGGCAGTGGCATACATCGGAATAGTAATGTTGCGGAGCTTCGGCTTCTTGTTTTCCCAATAGTCATTCCAGGTACCATACTTATCCACCATCGCGCTGACATCCTCGCGCATCCCAGGTCCTATAGAAGACTTGTCGTCAGAGAAGGCTCGCAAATAACACCCACATGAGGAGCACACAACGCTTACAGCATGCCCATCCCATCAACACATCCCAGAAAGCACAGTCAGGAATGCCACCGCGACAGAAAGACTCCCTATAGTAGTCTCCGAGCCCTTCCTAAGGTGCTATGCAAGTCAGATGAGGAGGTTGTGCGGCAGTGATGAACCACTGCGTTGTTGCAAGCCACGAGTTCCCGGCCATGGAGACCTTCCATGTACCATTGCACCAAGGTTGCCGCGCAAATGGTCAGGGACTTTAACTTCCTCTTACCTATAAGGCTAAACATAAATCCTCTGCTGTTCAATTTTAAGATCTAAGTCCTCTCCGCGTGACACTAAAGAGTACTTTCTGTGGCTTTACAAACCACCTATTAACAGTCTTCAATTCCCCACTAAGACACTTAAACTCATACCGCCTGACTAGCTCTGGGATCAACTTCACCATCTCCAGGCTTGATATATGCTTCCCTATGCAGGTCCTCGCGCCCGCTCCGAAAGGCAGGTAGTACTGCTCCATGACCGCTAACGTCTCCGAGGAGGCGCGTTGGGGATCCCACCGTTCAGGTATGAAGTCTGCGGCGTCTGTGCCAAAGACTTTTGCGTTCCGGTGCGCTACCCAGGGATTGATACCGATGAGTGTCTGTTCAAAGTAGTTAGAACAATTTTATGCGGCTGTGCCATGTTGAATAAGGCTTTAAAGACTTACCCCAGGCGGAAAATGGGTTCCATCGACGTCTAGACCGGACCCTATGACCTCGCGCCACATGGGCAAGCCGACGGCTGGATGGAGTCGCAGGGCTTCTTTGATGACCATCTGGAGGTACGGAAGTTGCTGGGCTTGGTCAAAAGTAATGTGTTCATCGAGGCTAGAGCAGAAGCCTTGAGAATAGAGCTCTTCGTACATGCTCTTTGCGACACCATTTGTGGTGAGAATATGGTACATCGCACTGGTTAGGGAAATGCTCGTGGTGTCACTTCCAGCTGCAACATTTCCTGTCAAAGTAAGTGTTCGAACACGAAATCTTTCGTATTCCTCCGGGTCTTCCTTCTGCAGTCGTTGAGCTTTTGTCAGGAAGGTCTCTCCGCCATGCTTTTCCTTGATGTCAATATCATCGCTCTCGGATTGCAGCTTTCGCGCAAAACTTGCGATACCACGAACAGGGTTACCATAAAGGACGAGAAGTATGGGCAACAAGACGGCGTTGACGCCTGAGAGTGTCGAGAACGCGTTGGCGTCTTCTAGACCTCGCATGATGCCGTCGATATCTTGCCCGCCAGATTCCAAGAAACCTACTCGTCTGCCGAACTGGTATAAGAGTCAGAAAATTGATGCAATCGGGCAAATGAGCGGACCACCAAACTCACCGTTATCTCACCAATCACATCAAATGCATAGCACTGCATCCACTGCTGCAAGTCAAACGTCTCTCCGCTCTCGGCGAACTCGTCGAAACGCTTCAGAAGAAGCGCAATACAGCTGTCAACATAGGGCTCGTAGGACTTGATTGTCGACATGGAGTACATGCTGGCGACTTTGCGGCGCATGAGGCCATGCACGGCGCGATCGCGCGCACTGAAGAGATTGTGGTTCGGGATGCGAGGGTCTCCCCAGGCATCGTACCATCCGCTTTTTGGCAAGGGAGATGAGATGCCATAGATTACGCGAGCCATGGCCGGGTCGTCAATGCTGTACATGCGAGGCCCGATGCGAACGATTTTCCTGGCTTTGGTGGTCATCAGCAATGGGCCAGGAAGTGATTAGAGCTAAGGAATAGTAGCCACATACAGCCATTCTCATGTGCTTCGATGTCGTACGCCTCATACTTGCCCTGCCATATTTTCCAGATGTACCATGCATCAGTCCATCTGGCAAGGGCAGGCCCGTACGCTCCAGGGAGTGAAAGACATGCAAGGATGTGGCTGAGCAGCCAGCTGATGGCAAGGAGCGTGAGAGAACCAAAGAGCACAAGAAGAGACATGACAGTTTTCGCCTAGAGATGCTTTGTTTGAAAATTCGTAATGTAGACAAAGCTTATAACATATGGCTCTTGGGGGATGAGGGCGTGGGGAAACACTAGTGACGTTGCAGGATGTGGTGGGGTGCCGAAACTCACATGGTAAGTGGCGGTGGGGTAGTTGAATTCTTGTAGAAGACAGTATAAATGCGGGGTTGAAGCCATGTCGTGAGACTTCTACAGTATACATTAAAATAGTACAAGAGGCAAATTCAACGAACTCTGTCTGTTAAAGCCCATGTTTTGGAGGCTCACTTGGGGTTCAATGACTATGTCAGCTGGTGATTCCTAGCTGCCCTCTTTAGTTGATAGATATAGATAATGGTAATTGCTACTTGCTATGGATCCTATTTCTGAGCATTCATATTTTGCTGGCGAGCTTTCTCCATGTGAGGATGACCATAGAATACCTTACCTTCAGGACCATCCAGCGTTGCCGCCTTCTCAATCTCCTCGTAGATCTGACCGTTAACAGGCGCTTGCTTGGCCGAAAGGAGCGCGAAGGTCTTTTTAGCGCGGTCTGCCTTCGATGTAGATGTCACGACAATGCCGCCAAGCCGGTAGTATGCCCAGCTGAGCAGCAGATCAGCTGTGGACAGCCTCGTTTGCTTTGACTGCTCTTCCAACTTCTGCAACAGTGCTGTGCTGTCTTCAGTGGGCAAGCGACCGCTGACGGCTGTCAAAAGGCCATAGTCTGCGCGACTGTTAGCTTGGGAGATTTATTTCCCAGAGACTTGGTTAATGGTGTTAATACTCATTGGGACAACGTTATGCTTGACCTCGAACTCGCGGAGTTGCCGGACCTTGGGATCAGACAGCAAGAACGGATTGAACTCGTATTCATTGAGCTGTGGAGGGTGTTTGAGGTCGCTGGCGCTGAAGACGTCGTGGTAATCGGGCAAGGTCCTACAAAATCGCGCTCGTGAGCTTTGATCGGGTTACGCCCCGTCGTTGTGTTATTGACGACATACCAATTCGATACACCAATAATGCGAGCAACTCCCTGATCCTTAAGATCTTCCAGCACACGCCATGCATCGCGATTGGTCATGTTACCATCATAACCGCGGGGCGGGAAGTGCAGCTGCAGGATGTCGACATAGCCTTCTAGTGTCCCAAACCGCTCAATCTCCTGCTTTACGGCCTGGATCATGTGATCGCGGCCTCGACATCCTAGGGATGCGTAGGTATTGATCTTAAGGGATAGGAAGATCTCGGAGCGTATGAGATTGCTGCGGCGAAGGACTTCGGCAAAGCTGTCATTATTGGTGTAGATATCACCAGTGTTGAAGTGACGGAACCCCGCGTCAATCGCTTGTTGAATTTCGACGCTGCTGTCTGTAGGAAGTGGATGAGTGTGGCCGGGTGCCCACTTCATGAGGGTTCCCACTCCGAAGCATAGGCGGGGTATGGCTATTCCTGAAATGCTAATTGTTGACATGGCTGTTGTATTTCTCAAGACGTCGAATACATTGGATGATGTTGGCGGCACACAACAAGCCCACGTCCGGCGGGTGGGTGCTTTTACGGTGAGGAGAAGAACATGACGCCGTCCAAGGTTCCTTGCTTCATACGGACGCCTCCACATTGTGGGGTACTCCGATGTGGTGTTGTGCCGTCCCTCTAGAGCAATTCGACAAGGTCACAATACGGACCTCCTGGCACAGGCGATAATTATTTCAAAACAGACCTCATGGCTTCCCATATGGGAAGAAAAGTTTCTCATCGTTCAGACTACCGCGGTTGGTTGTTACACATCTAAGTCTTTCATTCACTTTAACCCACCATGGCTTCGTCTAAGTTTCTTCCTCACGAGGGCAAGCATCACAAAATTCGAGTCGCCATCATTGGCGCAGGAATCTCTGGACTTGCCGTCGCCAACGGCTTGCTGAAAGATCCAGCTGGGAGATTCGATGTCCAGGTCTTCGAACGCGACACAATTGCATTCAACTCAGAGCGTGGCGGGTATCAGCTCCGCATCAGCGCCAATGGCCTTAACGCTCTGAAGACAGTCTCCGACCTTGAGCTCTGGTCATTGATCCGCGAGGTTTGGGCCGGTGATCAGGCGGAAGCGCCTACCATTGTTGATCCCGATACTTTCGCAGTCCGTCTTCGCCTCGGCGATCTCAAGTTGTATCCCAAGAGTCGAGCCATACCTAGGAAAAGACTGCGTGGTGCTCTTCTACAGCCATTACTAGTTCAAGGGCGGGTTCACTTCGACCACACCTTCGCACGCTTTGAGCTGATGCCCGGTGAGCGATGCGGCGTGCAGCTACACTTCGATGGCCAGGCTTCACAGGAGGCTGACATTCTTATCGCATCAGACGGCAGCAACAGCCAGGTCAACCGACAGGTTGGCCTTAACAACAAGATCAAGCTAGACAGCATGACTTTGATCCAGTCTCGCGGCATAATTTCACGATCTGTACGAGATGAGCTGCCCGAGTCGCTCGTCGAATCTGGCTCGGTAATGTTCTTGGGCGGCAAAGATGTTGCTGGATTTGCATCCGTCTATGACCCCCAGAAGGACCCAAGTACCAGCGGCACAGAGTCATACACCTTGTTCTGGTCGGTCGGTATACCGAGGGCCCGGGGAGACGAGCTGATAGCGAAGGCCGGCTCGAATCCTGAGAAGATCATTCCTCACCTCATAGATTACTTCCAAAACGACCTTGGCTATGGCAAACCTTTAGAACTCATCATGAGATCAGCGACTGAGGCTGTCCGGACGGGCCTTGTGACCAGCTCCGTCAAGCCGAAGACGGATTGGCGAAACGGTGTTGACAAAAATTCGCGAGTGGTTCTCCTCGGCGACGCCGTGCACCCCATGACGCCTGGCCGAGGCATGGGTGCAAACCAGGCGCTGACTGATGCCGCCAATCTTGTCGAACTTTTCCACCAAGCAACATTTGAGCAGAACGTGCCGTCGGATGGGGAACTCGCCGCTTTAGCGCGCACATTCGACGCAGAGATGTATACTCGCGCGTTTAGGATGGTGAAGGCCAGTGAGACCGTAACTTCGCTAGATTTGACGACGTTATCGGGTAAGATGATGATTACCTTCGTCGGAATGGCTATCACCGCGATGGGATGGCTCATTTCTGCCTTAGAGACTATTGGTTTGAAAGCCGAAGGGAAGGTAGACTATGTATCGCATGAGAAGTAGTGCATATAGGAGATCTGTGTCTACAGATTGAGCCAATGTGCTGATAATCGAAAAGGATATTATGAAGGTAGCGTGACAATGGATTTGCTTTACCGACTCCTCTGTGTGATGGACATTCTAGGAGCGAGCACAAGCCAGAGACGAAGGCTGGACACGGCTTGTCGACAGGATCCTGGAATTTGCCTGGGTAGTTACGGTGGTGGCGTTGGATGGGATCCGATAGTTTCTGCAAAGCCTGGATTGTAGAATAAGTTCGCCTCGCGGTGCGGAGTTGCGGGGGTCCCCGGGCTTGGCCATCAGAGGGTCTGTGGCTCCAGCCTGGCTATATTAGGTGCATAATTCAGATTCAATCCAGACGTCAATCTGAACTACAGCTTGCTTTCTTCTCCACTTCACGGCGTTGACAGGCAAAAGCTTAAGCATGAATGCCACAATCGAGTGGTTCGGTAAGTTGCCGCCACATTCAGTGTCTCTTAATTACTGCCGAGATTCGTGAGGCTCATTAATCACCCAGGTGCTACCACGTTTCGCGTGAAAGTCAACGGTCTCGTCATCTTCTTGGACACATGGCTGGAGCGTCCAGATGTTCTGCCCAAAGTGTTGGCTATCGACGATGTGGATGAAGCGGATTACGTCTTCATCTCCCACGCACATTTTGACCAGTGAGTGTCAGACTGATTCGCATTACAGTCACTATTATCTTTCCACAAAGCCGACTCACTAGGTGTCCTTTAGTCTTCCCGGAGCCGATAGGATCGCAATCAAAACCGGAGCACATGTTATTGCTAATGGCGAAGCCATTAACGTCCTTCGGTCAGCTGGAGTGCCCGAGGACCAGTTGATCCCTGTATCTGGTGGCGAGCGCATCCCTCTTTTTCCTTTCAAGTGCCGTCAAGCTGCATCTCGTGGTGAAGTTGACATCGCTCCTGGGCCACCAGGCGCTCCTCCAGCTCCGGATGCTAGATTGGCCGCGGCCTCCGTCCATGTCTGGCCTTCACTGCATTGTCTCATGCCTGGTGGCTCGCATGCCGATGTGCCTGCAATCATGGATACAGGCAAGGAGTATATTGGAGGAGCAAGCCAGTACGCTTGCACACTGGATATCACATTCGGTATGAAATACGGCCTCCTCAAGATCGGCGACCACATGCCTCGAGATGCTATGGACTCGGGCATGCGCTCTTTCGTAGACTACGTCAACGGCCCGGCGAGGGAATGCATGTCTCACTTTGACGGAGGGCAGCTAATGTACAACTTCCTGTTCGGGGAGGGCAAGACACTGCTGTGGAACGGACATCTGGGAGGGTACGATGGAATACTGAAGACGGTGCAACCACAGCCAGACGTGCTCATTCAAGCAATTGCTGGACGGGCGAACTTGAATGGAAGACCGTTTGATGGATCTGCGGCGCAGTTCGCGGTGCAAGTATCGAAGCTTCTAGGAGAGCCAAAGAAGGTGATCTGGTGTTTGCACGATGAGGCGCCGATCAAGCCGTGGACGGTGGATATAAGCCCAGCTACGCAAGCGGTCGAGAAGGAGACGGGTTCCAAGGTGACTGCACTGCAACTGGGTACATCAGATATGCTTTTCTGAACATTGCAAAATAAAAGTAACACAAAGAAGTCAGATCGGGGCGTCAGAGCAGTTTGCAATACAACGCCTAACATAACGTCTCAGCTTTAACGACTTCTTGACATGCTTGAGGCAGTTCCATCTATTAATGTGAACGGGACTAAGCTTGATTGAGTAGGCGAACTGAGTCCCGCCCTCTGTGACATTCGCGAGTTACGGTGGCGGTTGGTAGAGTGCAAGACGGGAGTTTCTCATCGGCATCCCTCCACCCCCGCGGCCCCGCCGCCATTCTCCACATATTTCGGGATCCCCCACCCCCGCCGCCGCCGCGGTATCTCGGAACCCCAACATTCCCCATCATGCTCCGCAGACATACCAAGATTTCACACCTCAATAAATTGTTCAACATGCGATCGCATACCTCCGCAGTTGCCAATCTAGGTAGCAATGCCGATAACGATGGCGCTGCCGACGGTGTCGGTGACGGTAATGGCCCCTCATCCTCCCCGTCTTCCTCCTCCGCCTCCGCATCACTGCTGTGTCCCGAATGCGGGCAGACCTTCCGTCGGCGCGAGCATCTAAGTCGACATCTGGACCGCCACTCCGGCCGTCGTTCTCACGCATGCAGTATCTGTAAGAGGGCTTTCTCTCGAAGGTGTGTATCCTCCGTGTCTTGGATAGGCTGTGTCCAGTTCTTCTCCTGTAACGTCTGTGACTGACTCTCAGCGGGAAAAAGAGACACGTTGAAACGGCATGTCCGCACACATGGTACTGCAGTCCTCGTTGAATGGACGCAAAACAACGACGGTCATCTCTCACGAGACCAACGTCGTGCGTGCGAAGCCTGCGCCAAAGCTAAACAACGCTGCGATGGTTGCAGGCCAGCACCTTGTACCAACTGCACAAACAAAGGTCGTCGCTGCTCATACCAACCAAATCCTGGCGACGACGAGACTATCCTCGTTGCGCAGCCTGTAGCCGATGGCGACGTATCCCCTGCCCCTACTCCGCCTTGTCAGAACTTGCAGCCTATTACTTCGCAATCTTGCGTCTCGGACCAACCTCCGCTCGAGCCAGACCTCCTATGGGACGCCCTCTTGACCCCTGCCCGATTTCTGTTTCCTTTCTCACCGGCTACTTCTCTCGGAGTTGGGATATCAACAGACTTTTGCTTCGGAGACACTGCTTTGGCTACCGTCGTTGAACCTGTGGATGACCAGAGCGTGCAGAATAGCTTCGGTGCAAAAGCAACACCAAGAGTAGGTGTGGAGGCCGTTGGGGTCATTACTGGGCCAGGCAACCTGACAGCGGAGGAGGAAGACATCTTGATCGCTGAGTACATTCCTCATGTACCTCCCATGACAGCAGAAACGCGAGCATATATGCTCCAAGCCATCAAAGCCCGACTGCCACAGCACGAAGCCCAAGGGCTTGAAGCCAACTTCCCATCTTTGCGACACCTTGATGCATATATGCAATTGTATTTTGAGCACTTTCATCCGCGAATGCCTTTGTTGCATAAACCGACATTTCAGGCGTCACCCGAGACGTGGCAGCTAGTACTCAGTGTGTTGTGTCTTGGCAGTCGGTACTCCCTAGCGCACCACCATCACGATCATGTTTTGCTACTGCAGCTAATTGCCCAGCACATGCTGAAAAGAGATGTAAGGCCCATCATTGGAGCTTTTCTCATGGCATGGTACTAATGTGACAATTCAATAAATTGCAGATTCAAGAGCTATCGAGCAATGACGTTTTGCCCTGTGCGCAATCTCTATTGTTGTTCCATCAAAGCCAGTGGCTCTCGGGTGAGCGGAGCATTGTCATCGAGGTGCAATTCTACCGGAATATCCTCGTCACCCTTTGTCGCCAACTGCTGTCTCGAGAGGGCACTTTGATGCACACGCATACATCCGCTGAGGACGCGAACCACGCATGGTCCCAGTGGATACAAGCCGAAGCCAAACGAAGGATCATACACTTCACTTGGAGTAAGTCACCTTCGCTGAACCACCCTCGTGCTACGAAACTTACACACAAAAAGCGTCGGAGTGTCTCCAGGCGACATTCTTCATGCTTCCTCCTCTGCTCTCAATTGCTGAGCTACAAACTCCGGTGCCCACAGCTGATGCGTACTGGTCATCGAGTCAAGAGCAGTGGCACCTTCTCCCGCCACCGCAGCCTTCATTAACTATTTGTGCTCTACTTGCACGCGTTGGTCTCGGCGATGTCGTGCCGGCGAGTCTAGAGCAGCCGGCTAAGTCTACAATACTGCTCTCGGCCATCGTGCAGCAAGCTGCCGAGAGCGATCTGCTTCGAGCTATGGGGCTCGGCTCTGTCGGCAGTACTGCTAGTCAACCCGGTCTAGCTCTAGGAATGGGGACGATGCTCTCCCAGAAAGCCTTCGATGCTTTGTCCCAGGCAGGATGCTCTCAGATGTTGCGCGAAACGGACGCCGGCACCAACTCGAATGACTTTGCCTTGCTCTCCCGAGTCCTTTCCATTTGCTCAGTCACACCGTTGCGGCTACTCAACCCCTACGGCAAATGGCAGACGACAGATGCAGGTCACAGCAAAGCCCGGTCTGAACTGCTGAACATCATACCGCAGAATGTCAGCAGAGCAAGACACTGCTTGTACTACGCAGCGCAGGTTCTTCAACACTTTCGCACTATGAGAGTGGCAACAGTACTCGACATCCTTAGCGTCTTGATCTGCGTGCTCTACATGGTGGTGTACGCAGATATTTTTGAGCAACAAGAACCTAACTCCGCCGGAAGTGGGGCCAGCACCGGAACATCCAATACGGAGATCATCCGACTCGACCAAGTTGTTGACATAGATCTTTTAAACGGCTGGTTGGAGGTCAGAAATCATAAAAGACCTCACATTGCTGGGGTCGGTCTCCTGCACAGCGGCCGCTGCGTGCCTCGCTTGTATAAAGAAGCGTCGCGGATTATGGCAACCGGGTCCTCGGTCTCGAGGATGGCTAAGGAGATGTCGATCATTCTCGAGTCACAAGCTAAAGGTTATCCTCCAGACCTTATAGATCGCCGACAAGACATACAGAGAGCGGTGTGAAGCTGAGTTGAGTCACAACGAAAACCACGAGGGCACAAAATGAGGCAAGGCACGACGATGTAAACCACAACTTGATACCAAGCATATGTAAACGGTTCCTGCCATCTCTTTTACGATTTTAGTGGGCTGGAATCTGCTAGACTGAACTACGTGGCAGGGAGCGCAGATGTGTGGCCCTCGCCAGTAGAAGCTTCGCAGGCTATGTCGATGAAAAAGGGCACCTTTTGTCTCAGGTACCCAAAGAACCGATGAAGGTGCCAATTCCACTAATTGGTCGCCATAATATATATTCCTCGCAATGTTTCGGTAGAAGAATCATCCTTCGACCACGCTTCATAATCCAGTTTTTCGCATCTCGTCTGCGTCCTTAGATGCTGCTAAAGACATTGTATGGGCCAAGCTGACCGGAGTTGTCTTCGTGGTCTGTTGTGTGTATGGATTTTTGATGTTTTACCGTTGCTCAAAACTTTCACAGGGGATGGTGATCACTTGGCTGTAACAAATAAAAGCCATCTGTGAAGAGACCACGTAGCGGTCAGGGCCCGGCATTTGCAATATGGCAAGCCGATCTCCAATCTCTGGATTTAACCGCAACACATAACCGCTCTGCGTGTCGTAACTTTCCACAAATCCAATAGCTATCAGACCTGCGGTGGAGTTGTACGTGATCCCCCTTAACCGGTCGGTCCGGTCAAGCTTTAATTCTACGTCGTAGCGCTGGATGTCAGGTCGATGAGTCTCAGTTTCGGTTCGTCATTCAGCAGGGCTAAGTGAGTTGCGTTCGGTGAGCAGCTGCCAAGGGCAGCGCTAACATCTGGAAATTCTTCCGGAGCCTCACTCATTTGAAGCGTAAGGGAAGGAAAGTGCCACTACTGAAATCGCCACGTGTTCATCCGGCCGTCATTCGTGCCGATGTACGAGCCGCAAGGAGAAAAGGGCAACCATTTGGATGTCTGAATTGGCTCTTCATCCAATTCACTGTATGGGTATCCATCGATCTTCGACAGTGGTTGACTCTCTGAGTGCCTTGCATTCCGTATATAGCAAGCTCATTCGAAAGTCCAATCGCCAAGATCTCACTGTCCTTGCTCCAATCCAACGTAAGATCAGTGTGATCGTGTTCCAACTGCGCCTTAACGATAAGGGGTGGAACCCTTGAGGGAGCAGAAAGGGGTCCGCCATGTTTTCGCTATCCCAAACGCTCACGTTCCCTCGGCTAGAGTTATCGCAAATTTTGAACGATCAGGTGAGGATTCAGCGTTCCTGAGCGCGCGCATTAGAAGTGCAAGAATCGGCTTGCTGAATTTGAAGATTAAGGGCTAAAGATCAATATCGATGATTCGAACCAAATCGGAGTACTTTGTGCACATGAATTTGCCATCAGGGGAAAAGCAAATATCTTGATCAAGTTCAGGCTGACTTTTGTAGATAGATGCAGCGTAAATAAAGAGAGGAGTAGAAGTGTCATTAAGATGTTTGACGATACTTTCTCCTGGCCAGTCCCGTAAAATCCGGTAGGAATTTTGTATCTCTTCAAGCTGAGTCTTTATAAAGACTCTAATATCGTGATCGATAACGGAGCATGGTATTTCGTGAAGCGCCACGTCTTGATGCAAGACCTCATATACATCTTGCCGGAACCCAAACCGAATCGGAACCTCTGGCCGACTGGTGAGGAAAACTCGGACTCTCACTTCCGTAATGGCTGCTAATTTGGTAAACTTCTTGAGGAGCATCCGGCTTCTATCCTATTCAGGGGATTCAATGTTTCCGGTGTAACGTTCATCTAGCGCGTCGATGACGAAGACAAGCGTTAGGACTAAAAGTCCATCAAACTTCAGTTCTTTCGGCGGTCTCGAAATCAGTCCATCAAACTGTGTTTGGAGTTTTTCCCCAGCTATATCAGGCTTCTTTTGTACAGCCTCCATTTAGGTTTTCTTCGAATGAGTTGCCTAGCAACTGTAGTGATAAAAAGGTCGGCCCTGTTGCGTTCATCACTAGTCCTGTCAAAGAAAAAGCTTGCGGCATGGTGTGAGCACATGTAACCATATAGCATCTATTGCACCCAATAGTTTCGGCATATGTTTGGATTGTGGCTGGCATGTAATAAAGACTACCGTTCTATCAGCCGCAAGCTACAACTTGATCAGACCCTTTGTCGGCACTTTGACGTAAGCTCATCTTTTCACCCTGCACTGGTGTTGTGAGCGGAGCAAGGGCATGCTTGAGTCCACTTTCGAACTCATCGATGTCTCCGCCAAAAGAGAACCGGAAAGAATAATTACGCGGCAATAACATCATTTGCCCGGATGTATGACATAGGACACCAAATGAAAGTCGCACTTGCTACAACGGCCGTACTTGTGGACTGCGGCATATTTCGGTACCTTTGAGCCACACCCTTAAGCATTACACGATGAATAATATTCGTAAGGTATTTAATGATAAAGACTTGCGATCATTTCCTAGTCCTGGGTAGCGCTTCCTATCTACATCTAGCAATGAATCTGGTTATTGGAAAAAGCGACTGGAGATCCCATACCATCTATTTGAGAATTGAGCGAACATTGCTATTCACTAAATTGCTAGCGCTATTTGATAACGGAAGTTATCTCTTCCGTACTCGTGTTCTCTATGACGCAAACAAGAGAGTGAGTGATTTAAGAACGGCCCACAGCACTTCGGCAACTGCCTTCCTGGTGCATGTTTGAAACTTGACTATCTCGTATTCGGCGTGACATTTCAAAGTGATACGATGTTGTTAACCGGCGCAGCCAGCATCAACTTCAATGATGAATCCTACTTACGCAAGGCAATTTGAACCGAGTCGCACCAATCTGATGTAAATGAGAGTGTGTCCAACAGGTACAAGCACAAACGCAACCCTCTGTTGAACATCAAAACAATTTCTCGAACATCTCTGCCTACTGCCTGTTTCCGTTGACCGGTTGACGGCACGGAGGCTTTTGGGACTCCTAGTTCCAGCCACTAACAAAATTGACGGACGGACGCTAGACTTTCTATTTCGGATTTCTTGATATGGAGGATTGTGGAGCACACGTAAGTGGATGGCGTGGGGAATGTCCCGGACGAGGAGAGAGCCACGCAGAATAAGAGCGACGACCGAGGCGTGAGACTTAGGAATTTCAGTCTTTGTCAACAAATCAAACGCGCGATGATGGGGTAATGGAGGCGGGCGCGCGGCCTGGTCGCTTGTCATCGTATCGAGTCTGGAAAGGGAACGGCGGCGCGGCAGATTAGGAGATTCCAGCACGTCTGCGGCTTACGGCAGCTTCAACGAATGCACCTATGATTGGGGGCGCCAGGCTAAATGTCTCACCATGGGGGTACCACTGACGTGCGCACCGCATCACGAAGAGTCATTAGAGCTGCTTGCAGTTAACCACGTTCCAAGCCACACCCGTTGATCTAAACCCCCAACGGAGAATTTCTGGCACGGCGTTTTGTGATATTCCTTTGTGTTTACCCCCTATGGCTGTTATTCCCCCATGCCTAAAGTAGGTACAATGTCGCCATCATACATGTTCAAAAGGGTCCCCTCCCTTGCACTCGGATGTTTCTCCCTTCCACCCATGTCCCTTGATAGTGATAGCGCTACCAGCACCGACGCAAGCAACTGATTCAGAGGCCAGAGAAAAACAGAAACAGAAGGGAGATAGAGAGAGGAGAGTTTAAAGATGTCGAAACCCCAGGACCGCCACCATGATCATGCCAACGGGCAGCACCACGAAATCCCTCAAACACATCTCAGCGCTATGGGAGGCCACCTCGTTGCCGCCTCGGGCGAGTTCGTCGGCACTTTTTTCTTCCTGTACTTTGCGTACGCCGGCAACATCATGGTGATCAAGCAGGGGGCTTCCTCGGCCGGCGATGGCACGCTGAGCAGCGATGGCGTAGTCTTCATCGCTCTATCGTACGGTCTCTCTCTGCTGGTCAATGTTTGGACTTTTTACCGCATCAGCGGAGGCCTCTTCAATCCTGCGGTAAGTGCATATATTTTCACGGGCACACAACCATATCCTGCCACACTAGTTGAGCCGCATGCTGATGGACGAGACTAGGTCACTCTCGGCCTTTCTCTCGGCGGTCAATTGCCGTGGATGCGGTCCGCTTTCCTCGTGCCGGCTCAGATGCTGGCCGCGATGTGCGCCGGCGGACTGGTTGAAGCCATGTTTCCGGGCCAAGTTTCGCAGGCAAACTCGCTGCTTGGCATTGGGACATCTGTTGCCCAGGGACTCTTCCTTGAGATGTTCTTTACCGCACAGCTCGTCATCGTTGTTTTCATGTTGGCCGTGGAGAAGTCTCGCGATACCTTCCTCGCACCAATCGGTGTCGGGCTGGCTTTATTCATGATTCTCATTCCAGGTAAGTAGACTTTCTACTTCAATTTCACCAGACGAGTTTTTGATGATCGAATAGGTGTCTGGGTCACTGGTGGCTCCCTCAACCCCGCCCGCAGTTTTGGGTGCGCCGTTGCAGGCAGGTCGTTCCCAAACTATCACTGGATCTACTGGCTTGGGCCATGCATGGGAGCCGCTCTTGCAGCTGCGTACTACCGATTTGTAAAATGGGCTCACTATGAAGAGGCCAACCCTGGCCAGGATCTACCAGCAGACCCGAAAGATTTAGCTGCGGCTAACTCGGGAAACCACGGGCTATCTCACAGCTTAGTACCCCATCGTCATGAAGTCTGATCTAATTATCTACATGTATAAACGTTGATTATGTGTTTCCAGCATGGCATATTCTTCTTATCTGGCGTTTGAAAAATTATAATTCATTAATGGGCATAAGGGACGGAAAACCTTTACGGGGCTGGTATATGGTTGATAAATGGTCATCCTGAAAAGAAGATGAGATCAAGAGTGTGAATATTCCTGGAGTAAAAGTCATAGCGGCTTTGCCAAACTGATTTACAACTTTGATCGAAGACTTTGTTTCGACAGCACCTCCGCAACATCGTGCGCACCACCACCCTTGCTGAACATTTCCCTCAAATCCTTGACCAATATCTCAGGCCTCTCATGAGCAGCGAAATGCCCACCATCACCGTGCGTGACAGCAAACACAACGGGACCCAGAGTCTTGGCATGGCTCATCGGCGGAACAATTAGGTCCATGGGGAAGATGGATAACCCAAGCTTCACCCGCGGAACCCACGTAATGTGCTCCGTGTGCGGCTTAGGGTGCGCAACCTCGTAGTAAATCCGCGCGCTGGCCTCGGGCCCAGCCGTCGAGAACTGGTAGATGGAAATCCAAGTCAGAAGCTCGTCGTCGGTCCATGGATATGAATCAGTCCAGTCATGCAGCTTCTCAAGAATCCAGGATAGTAGCGCCACGGGCGAGTCGGCCCACGCAAGGCCCAAGGTCGCCGGCTTGGTGCTCTGCTCAAGGTTATATCCGCGACCCTCTCTCTGGAACCACTGGCTTCGCTCAATGCCTTTCTTCTCCTTCTCAGAGTAAGGGAAGAGATTTTTGATGTACTGTAGCGGGTTCTTGAAGAAGGACGGTGGGCTCGCGGAGACCATGTTGATGTGGGATGCGAGGACGTGGTCTGGGTAGAGGAGGCCCATGAACCGGGTGATTCCAAAACCCCAATCGCCTCCTTGAGTGACTACATGATTCTTAGCTCGTGGTCCGATAGCTGTTCAAGCATGCACACTTACCATACTGCTCGTAACCGAGCTTCAGCATCACCTTGTGCATGACCTCGGCGTACTGAGGTAGGCGGAAGCCTGGTTTGTCCGGACCTTCCGAGAACCCAAAGTTAGGAAGAGACGGTGCCACAACATCGAAAGAAAGACCATTCTTCTCCGTCGTCAACAGCGGGAGAATCTTGAGGACCTCAAGGAAGCTACCAGGCCCTGATCTCAAGTCAGTCATGGGCGACATACGTGTGTAGAGTGGGCGAGGTGAAACATACAGCCGTGAGAGAACAGCAGCGGCACAGCTCCAGGTTGCTTGCTCTTCTGGTGGATGAAGTGAATCTCGAGGTCGCCGAAGCCATCCACTGAAATGGTTGTCGTGAATTGTGGCAACTCATTCAGCTTGGCCTCTGCAGCGCGCCAATCGAAGCCGTTGCGCCAGCGCTCGGCCAACCTCTTCACTTCTGAGACCGGGGCGCCATAGTCCCAGCTTTCGGTGAGTGCAGACTCTGGTGGGAACTTTGCGAGATCGAGCTTGGCGTGGAGCTCCTCGATCTTTGATTGTGGAACCTCGATCTTGTACGGCTTGATTCCGGATGCCATGATGTGGTTTTGTGTTTTGACCCTGTGAAGCTTCTACTCGGAATTGCGGCGTGAATTATTGCCAACTGTAGATGGTGTCTGGAGATTTGCCTTCTGCAATTGCTTCGTTGGCTGCTTCGATGAGGCTGGACAGGCTGGTTCATTGACGATGTTTTATCCCGATGGTCAACAAACACGCCCTTATTTGGACGATTCGGATGTGCATATGGCGTCACAATTGGGTGGTCGTGACTTGCTACAGTCTTACTAATCCGCGTTCGCTGTTTCGGTGCCCCTAAGATATGTATGGTTGTCTGGTTGCATCGGGAGTGAGCGTGAGGGGTCTCCGAGGTCCAGCACGGTTGTTTCTACAGCGCTAAAAGCACCAAGGTCCTAAACTCACTTACTGATGGTCTCTGAGGGTCTGACATCATGGATGAGCCTGGTGGGCCTGAAGTGAGATCGTCGCGTCGCAAAGGCGCGATAATGACAATCAACATGAAGGGCGTGCTGATAAATGAAAGCTTTCTTACAAATGAAGCCTGTTGGCAATTTTTCAGGCCAGTCCAGGACATTCATGCGCTGAGTTCGATGCAGGAGTGAAGGCATGTGCTCGGATTTACTCACTCACTGAGTGCTCATTCACAGACGCTCACCTCAACCATACTCTCCATGAAAAACATTTCGTTTGCATGAGCGAGGTGACATCTCTCTGTCAAAAAGATGATTCCAATGGCTTTCTGTCAATTACTCCTTCTCAAGACCTCTCATACAACTTCACTTTCTGCTAGCTCTCAGATGGTCGTAGCTTACAACGGCTTCAAGCAGGGCTTGAGTGCCATTCGCACTGCAGCAAAGTTAGCTCACACTTCTCACGACACCAAGGGCGCATCCACTGACCAATCTTCCGGACTGCAATATTCCTCGGGGTGATGGCTCACACCGTCCTTGCAAGGGACGAAAATCATTGTCGTCGGGCACCGCTTGCTCGTGTAAACGCTGTCATGCCCCGCGCCGCTGGTCAACGGCAGCCAGCCGTCCGGCCCAAAAAGACCAATCGCTGCATTCTCCACGGCTTGGATGCACTCCTTGTCAAACTTGACCGCGGGCGAATCGGTATCGAGCGTCCACTGCACCTCGACCCCGCGGCCATCCTCCCCAGCGATCTTCTCAAACGACTCGATGCAACGCCTCTGCACCTCTTCGACAACTGCGTTTTCGGGGTGGCGAATATCAAGGGTGAAGGTAACCTCCGAGACGATGGTGTTGGTCGACGAGCTGGGTGGGATCTTGAGAACACCTGTCGACGCCAGCGCCCCGAGCTCCTTTGCGATGGCGTTGGAGGAAGCAATCATCTTGGACGCCGCGAGCAACGGGTCTCTGCGGGACTTCAACGGCGTGGTGCCCGTGTGTGCGTCGCGGCCCGTGATGGTGAAGGTGAACCAGCGATACGCCTGCGCGCCCTGCACGACGCCGATCTTCCTGCCGTTCTCCTCGAGGATGGGGCCCTGCTCGATGTGCAACTCAAAGTGCGCGCCCAGAGGGTAACCAGTTGATGCGTCGCTTGAACAGGCGAGCGGACCGATGTAGCCGTGTCGCTCCAGCTCAGACTTGACGGTCACAGAAGGGTCGAAGATATCGCCCAAGTCCCAGGCCTTTTCCCGAGGGATATCACCTGCCCAGACGCCGGAGGACATCATTGATCTCGGGAAACGGGCGCCTTCTTCGCTGGTTTTCGTCAGGCATTATGCGGCTTTTTCCGAGGTGATGGTTACACTTACTTGGTCCAATTGACGATGCCAACATCGAATTGCGTCTTGAAGTTGTTGTCTTTTAGTGTTCTCATCACCTCTACGGCGGCTAGAACGCCCAGAATGCCGTCGTATCTGCCCCCGCGGGGTTGGGTATCAAGATGGCTCCCCATGGCTGTCATCGGAGCGGAAGATTTGAGCGCTCCTTGACGTTTCGCAAACATGTTTCCCATCTCATCGATTGCAAGTTCACAGTCAAGGCTTGCCACCTCATCGGCGAACCATTTTCTCACGCGAGCATCGTCGTCGGACAGCGCCAGTCTGGCCATGCCTGTCTCTGTTGCACCCCTGCCGTCATGATGGTAAGCGTTAAGACCGACTTGATTGTTGAAAGGAGTTGGAATTAAGAAAACTCACTTTCCATATCGATGCGCTGCACCCCATTGGCATGTATGATGAATTGACTCTTGAAGGCGGTCGGTGTTGATCTTGAGTCCAGATAAGGAACCCCGCGCGGTTGAGAGTGACCTCACCCGGCGGGGAATGGGCATGATTACTGGCCTCAGGCGGGCAATCATGGTGAGAATGACTGCTGTTACGAGATTCAAGACAAGAGTAACGAGATAACTTGTTCGAGAGAGCCAATGGGTCTCAGTGAATTGCAAATGGCAGACGCAATTGGGTTGAAGTAGGAGAGTGAAGAGCGATAGGCAAAGGCGTTGGCCCCGGACCTTGTCTCCGGCAAATGCGCCCGAAACCGGGGGTACCGCACCGACGCAGCGTCAGCTATGGATGGAAACAATCAGCAGCAATGGTTGTCTAGTCGGTTAGCCGTCATTTACATCCATCGCTTGGCATATTTCTACGCCTTGAACGCCCTTCACGACAGTATATATGGATCTAGGATAAAGAAACTGGACGATCTGTGTCATTTTGTGTCAAACTCTACGCAACATGTCATGGGCTAGCTACCGCCCTATTGTGACACACCGACAGCATCCAGCCTGCGCGTCTCCACCAGCCCCATTTCTACCCAGAACGACAGAAGAACGAGCTTTTTAGATACTCATCAATCAGTCACGCCTCCGACCTAGCGACGATTCCTGTGCTCGATTTCTTCAAATCTGAGTTGCGATCGGTCGGCCGGGTATCGCAGTTGTCGATGAACGGACCAGCACCCCAGTCTGAGAGACGAAAGCCGTTGCGCCAGTGTACATCGTCGGCCCCGGGATCTTGTACGTTCCAGTGGGCGATTGGGAGATGTCATAGATCAACCCATCCTCCGCCGCTTGATACAAATCCACGGCCGACGTCCCAGCGGGTTCGTCGCTCCCGCCGCCAGTAACTTCAATGTTGATACACTGGGGATAGTGCTGCGCGCCCTGCCCTGGATACCTAGCAAAATGGAGTGCAATGATCTCATGTCGAAGCACATAGTAACCAGGTTGGATCTTCGGCGGAATTTGCACCGCCCAGGTCGCATTATTGCTGATAAGGATGTCGCTCGCCCAGATTCCCCACGCCGTCGCAAAACTCGTGGCATTGGCATTCGGATCAACCAGTCCGACCTTGTCGATCGCAAAAAAGCTCAACTTCATCTTGTCGATGGACTCGCAGGACCCTCTGTCAATGCCGCAGAAAGCAAGGTACGTGATGACTGGGCCGTGATGTGACTCGGGCCAACCTTGCCATTGAAAGTCAATGGTGTCACCAGCAGCAATGGGTCCATGGCCCTGAGCGTTGGTCGCATTGATATGACAAACGATGTCAGATTTACCGTAGCTCTCGGTGCTGATCCAACCGTCATTCTTAATTGTCGTGCTCCATGCCGCGAGGATGTCGGGGTTCGAGGATCGTGTGTTGAAGCCTTGGTAGGATGCACCGTCGATTACGAAATTTGTCACTCGGCTGTGAGCGGATGCTAGAGAAACTAAGACAAAAAGGATCGCTGGGGAGGGAAACATGATCATGCCTTTTTCTTTTCGAGTGGGCTGGGTCTGGGTCGGCGGTGAGTCCATTATCTAGCCCACCTCACGAGACGGTTATTAATACCTGGAGGTGCAAGTGCAACTCGAATTGATCATATAAGCAAAGTAAGGCACCGGAGACATCAGCCTGGACCGCGAAGGAAAGATTCTCGGGACACATCACTGAGCTCCGCAAAGGCTAGGAAGCAGCAATGGTTCCGACCATGTCGAGATCACGTTGCTGCAACGATGAGACGCGATAGTAGACAAAGGTGCAGCGCCAGAAGCTCGAACGGTGCAGCATCCAGCCGGGATATTGCACCATATTAATGAATCTGGTTGATCGCCAAGCTTTCGAGGTTCAACTTAGCGGCGGCTGTCCGGGTGAAGTCTGATCGTGCAAGCTAAACAAAAGTACTCTGGTTTCTAAATAAGAAAATAAAGTGATTTAGTCTGAACCGTGCCCCTTGAATTTCGGAGGATCATGAGAACACGTCCCTTTCGAGATGTCTCCAAGCGCGGGTGGGAGGGTGATCGACGTCCGGCTGGTGTACACCACACACTGCATTTAACCTTCCGGGTGTGACCCCAATCATCCCAAAGGATCTGCAAAAATGCTTTCTGCCGTACCGTACTTCCTTTTTGATGAGAATGTTGAAAATGGCAGAAAAAAGGTGACACCCAACAGACGGGGACAGCAAAGATGATGGAATTTGCAAAAATAGATGGACGATCTGGGAATCGAACCCAGGACCTACCGCATGCTAAGCGGTCATTATACCACTAAACCAATCGCCCAGTGGATCTTGTGAAATCACGTGCTTAATGTGGTCAAGTACCATGACTGGCGTGTCTCTTACTTTCTGGAGGGACACTCCACACAACAAACCTGTTTCCGTCTGTTGTTATTATTTTAAGAGGGTTGTTACTTCACCTCTGTTTGTTAGTCGCTCTTCTCATGTATGCTTGACCTAGCCCAAGCTTGTGGCAATGGCTCAGGACCCACGGAGCTCCCTGAAGCACCTACCGTGATCGTCGCTGTAACAAAGCATTACCGTAAGCTGAGACGGACGAGGAGCGTAACTGTTCTGCTACGTTGCATCGATTAAGATGCAGAGCTTGGATGCGGCCAGATTTACTCTGTTGTTAGTATTGGATCAAGTAGGCATGGTCGACGTAAATTGCACTAGCGTTGTGCAAGGCAGTGCAGATTTCATAACTGTTGAGTCCATTGAATGACCCTACACAAATGATGTTATTCCCATCTTCAGAGCACACCATCAGACATGAAAAGCACGGCTGCGTCGCGTGACCAGATTCCTCTTTGAGATTTGCTGTCACCCCGGAACTGTGGCGTCGAGCTGAAATTCTATGCTCAGCGCTACGCGTGTAGGTAGCACAGCTGACAGCGAAACGCCTCTGCAATGTGGAGAAGAACATTTGTTTCTGCTTTGCGGCGATGTTTGGGATTTGCTGTTCAACTAAGCCCGGGTACTCGGAACTGAACGACTCCTGCCAACTCCTTTGATCCAGTAGAGGTTTTCATTCCAATTTTCGATGTCGAATGTTTAAAAGGATTCCACAATTCGAGCCAAGATGCCCAACTTGCAGCTCTGAGGTTGCTACGATTCCGAGATCCGCTTCACGATGTGTCCACAGTGAGGGCTTCAGCCCCCAACCACACGCAACATAAACGCCGCAACCGCGCGACAAACCCAGCGAGAAGCAGTTCTCAGTCATCAATGGTCTATTAGTCTAGTTGGTTAGGACGTCGGATTCTGATCCAAAAATCAGTTCCTTCCGTAAGCCCAGGTTCGAATCCTGGATGGACCTTTCTTTTATCTCTGGTGACAATGTATTGTGTCGAGCGAACTTTTTGGGTTCCATAAATCTCGTGGCATAAACTGGGCATCGAGATTTGAACAATACGATTATTCATGGTCCGAGCCCAGGACAGGGGTAAAACACGGGGAACTGCGCTTGTGGCCTTCGTTTTGAGCCATTCGGGCCGTGGCGTGAGATAGTTCGCGCCAGTTGGAATCGTAGCGCGCTCGAAGTTTGTCTGGGGGAAAAGCAGGTCCCTCCCCTGCTCGGCCTACACCGTCTTGCCGGGGAACGGAACATTGCGCTGAGCTTCTTCTTTGTGCGATGGCTTGACCTCGAGAGCCTCCGAAAGGCCCGAATGGGCAGCTTTACGAAGGGCTCCATAGAGCTGAGATACGCCCAAGTGTCTAGCTCAGCCCTAGATGTGGTTGGGGAAGTTGCGGATTGCGGCCCGTATCATTGATCCATGTCAAAGATGGTAAATATGCTATGACCTGTGGTGAACATCAAGCCACGGAAGTCAGTGGCATGGTAGTATAAGGAGTCTGGAGTGCTCAGGTGGCAGATTAATCTCGGTGATACAAGTCTTGGCCAGATCATCTCGACAGTGCTCCCTCACCCAATCTTTAATGGCACTTTTCTGTTCCTTGCTACTTTTGCCATGAATCTTCGACAAGACTTCAACGAGGATACTGAACAAGCCCTAGGACCAGCTCTCTTCTCTTTCAACTCTTTGACGACCTTGTGCGAAGATGAAACCATAAAGAAACATGACAGCGATGCCAAAGCCACGCCCTCAACATCGGAATCTAGACTACACGAAAGCAGTGACGGAAGCATCTCTACATACTCACCTGTAAGCCTCTGTGGATCGATACACATTAGCTGCATTGGATTGACGATAATACGCTGTTGTAGGTGACTTGGGATGGGCCGGAAGACTCAGAAAATCCCAAGAACTGGAACCGAAGACAGAAATGGACAGTCAGTATCACTCTGGCAAACCCCAAGATATTTAGCACAAGCTCACAGAAGTCGTAGACATCTTTGATCATATCATCGTTCGCGTTCCTATCTCCCCTGTCCTCATCGATAGCCGCCCCAGCTCTAGGACCGATCAGCCACGACCTGCACATCACCAATGAGGTAGAGCGGCAATTAGTGCTCTCAATATTTCTCCTCACATACGCACTAGGACCTTTCGTATTGTCTCCTTGCTCGGAGATATGGGGTCGAACCCCTATTGTACGAGTTGGGAATTTGATCTTCATTGTCTCGACTGCCCTTTGCGGGTTTGCAGCATCAAAGGAGCAGATCCTGGCATTTCGCTTCCTTGCTGGAATAGGCGGCAGTGCGACTATAGGTGTATGTTTTTCTGGTTCTGAAAGGTTGTGGGAAATGCTGACACCTTCGTCAGATGGGCAGTGGCGTACTAGCTGACTGCTGGAAGCCAGAGGAGAGAGGGAAGGGAATTGCATTCATGCAATTCGCCCCCGTTTTAGGACTCGCAGTCGGCCCTATTGGTACGTTGATCACCCAGATACCACTGAAGTACATTAAGTGCAAATCTAATGATCTCTGAACATGCAGCGGGTGGGTATATCTCTCAATACGCTACCTGGCGATGGACCTTTTGGTCCGTGGTAATCTTGAACTTCACGGTGCAAGTCATCGCCTCTATCTTTCTCAGAGAGACATATGCCCCACGACTTTTGCACCTGAAGGCCAAGCGACTGCGTAAGCTCTACAATGATTCGTCCATTAAAACGGAGTGGGAAAAGCAGGAGCGCACACTCGCTGTCATCCTCGGGACCAGCCTATCTCGCCCATGGATCATGCTCGCTACTCAGCCCATTATACAAAGCCTCGCGCTCTATCAGGCGTTCAATTTTGGACTACTATATCTCATCATATCTAGCTTTCCGAAACTGTGGGAGCATTACTATGGCATGCACAAAGGGCAAGCGAGCCTGAACTACATCTCTATTGCCGTCGGAGCATTGATCGGTGTTTTGATCTCCGCCCCAACAATGGACATGATTTATCAAAGACTCAAACGACGTCGAGGTATTGAGAAGGATGGGAAGGGAGTCCCGGAGTTTCGCATTCCATTAATGGTCCCCGCTTCTCTTCTTACGCCCTGTGGGATGATGCTTTTCGCCTGGACTGCGCAAAACAAGATGCACTTCATGCTTCCCAACGTAAGAAATACTACCTGATCCCCAACACTATTTGGTCTGTCGTACTAAGACTGCCCATCTGTAGGTGGGCATAGCCATCACTATCGGCAGCAGCATGGTATCATACCAATGCATATCGGCTTACATCGCCGATTGCTATGCTCTTCACACTGCTTCGGCCTCGGCGGCTTGTTGCTTTATGAGATCCATGTTTGCATTCGCATTCCCACTGTTTGTCCCGGCGTTGTTCAGGAATCTTGGCTATGGCCTAGGTGGGAGTTTGCTAGCCATCATTGCAGTGGTGATTGGTGTGCCAGCGCCTATGTTGCTCTGGAGATATGGAGCAAAGCTACGGACTCTCAGTAAATTTGGTGTTGCTGAATAGAACATGATTTCTTCATTCTCAAGATTTATCCCTTCTCCGTCATGCCTCATCCGGCTGATAATCAGATGCCCAAGCACATCAAAGATTCGCATGTCTGGCTGTCTAGCACGGGGCCTTCAACCGCATTGCCTGAAATACAACTCCAAATGCATGCAACGCAGAAATATGACGAGAGAACTTTCATAATTGCCGATCAAACAATTTTCTACCGCCGATGATTCCCGCCATTCATTCCACTGAAATCGATGCTACGTGTATCTCGTAATTGTAGTTGATTCAGTGTGAATATTAGCAGTGGTTTCTGGGTTTCTCACAACCCAATCAGCAGGTGGCTCCGTCATATGCCTGCCCTGGCCATCATAGTCAGATGCATGAGATTTCAGGATTCTATTCTTCGTTTCCTTCTCCACAGCGTGCTTCCAATCCTTTCCCAGCTTTTGATAGTACACAGCCCAGAGACGAGGCAGGTATTGGACATCCTGGATGCAGTAGCGAAGAATATCCGGAGATAAAGGTCGCTGGTTGAAGACAGCATAACTTCCGCCCGACTGTGGGTTGAACAGATTGTGTCCCAACACTTTGACAGCTCTCCAGGCGAAGATTTCTTCGGGCGTCAATGGGGCATTCCTCTCTATGCATTTTGCTAATCCGCTGAGGAATCCTGCCTTGTTGTAACGTGAGGCGAACTCCATAAGCTGAAGATCTTGTATCCCGTCCAGATCGATCCTGAAGTGGTGGAACAGAGCATCTGAGTCGTTTCTAACATCGAAGAAGACCTTCTTTACGTTGGGGTCCTCCAAGAACCCCTTGATTGTTTTGCCTGATCTCTCGCCCGGAGTCAAGAAAGCTTTATCACCGAGAGCATGGATATCGAGGAGGTATGTATGTTGTTTCGGAGCCACATATAGCTGGAGGATGGATATGATGCCATGCCTACTCAGGTTGTCGCCTTCGAGATCAACATAATGCGATGGGACCGCGTCATTGGGCAGTCCGCTGAGATAGTCGACCAAGGTAGAAATACCCTCTGGCGTATTGACGAGATCGTATGCGAGGGGTATCATTGAATTGCTATCATAAGCCGATGCAGAGCCGAGACTCGAGCCGACTGGCTTAATCTCATTCGTGATTGATGCTGCCGTCATATGGTGATGCTGCTTTTCCATTCGGGCAGCCGGAATTGGATTGTGAAGTTGGTCTGGGAAGCTGTAGTCGAGTAAAGTTTTGATGTGACTTTGCGCCTCGTCTGGCTTTCTTATGGGCGTCCTGAAATGGTCGACGTCACTACCACAACAATTTCGAATTTTCCAAATGCGTGAAGATGGCACCTACTGGGCGCAAACACTAAAGTGGTCTAGTTCTCAACGACCGGTGCGCGCGGACCCGTCCCTATTCCCCGTTGATACGTGTCTTAGTTCCAACGAACTTGCTTGGAGCTTGGCCCCGATAGAAACTCCTCGTCACCTCTCTCGATTCTTTGTCAGTTCAACGGCGTGGCTTCAGATTGTGATTCATTTCAAATCAGTCAGGGGTTAGCAGGAAGTATGAGATTAGGGTGTCTTCTGTGAATCAACCATGAAAATCAGGACACTCTGCCTCATTTATGTCTCTGTGGCAACTTTGAACCCTAATGGAAGAATTTACCATTGATGCTATTTGTCGTCTACTCGGAAAGCACATCGCGAATCCGGATCCAGAAGGAGTGATGTGAAGTCTGGATGCATTCCGTCACTCATCACCAATCATCGGGTGTTGAAAAATCGCTACCCCGCTTAGAGTATGCATGTCAGACAGTTGCCTACAGCCCGATTTAGAATTGCCGAAGATTGCATGCTCAAACATCTATATATGGCTTGTTGATCCTCCATCCATCAAATGGAGGTTGGGTTTCTGCTCCAATCGCATCCTACTAGCATGATGTCGACCACTGAGGAAGCCGCGGCCGTGGCTGATAACCGATCAGCTTTTACTCTTCATATTTTCCCGTTTTCTTTGTACTCCATCATGACTAGACTCACGTGTGCATTTGGGCACAGAGGTTCGGGGAAGCTTAAGTTGGACATGCAACTCGCGCTGGTCAATCTACACCGAAATGAGAATCTCTCTGCAGACTATCTTTTGACAGTCAATCCGAAGGGCCAAGTGAGAAACCCATTGCTTTCTCAGCCTGATTAGCTGTAGTCTTTCTTTGCACCACCAGCAGAAGCAAATGTTCTGACAATAACAACTCTTATGAGGTTCCAACTCTGACAGGGGAAAGTCTCGACAGACCATTGACAAGTTCTCTGGAAATCTCCTACTGGCTGTGCCAACGGTATCCCCATCTCTTGCCGCGAGAACACGAAGCGCAAATCAGATTACGTCTGGCCAAGATGCACGACATCCAAGCCCTTTCACTCTCTGTACCTGATAAGAAAGCCCGCGAATACGGAGTTCCCAATATTGCTGCCGAGCAACTGAGCACAGTTGGTAAAATTCCCGAGGACTACCGGAGTGCATTGCAATTCAAAGCCGAGTTGTAAGTTCGCGCAATCAATCTGCAGCACTTGCATATGTGATCAGAAAGCTAACGGACAGTGCAGCCACAAGAAACACATGGAAAGTGCGCTAGAAGCCGATCAAGTAGTCTTAGCAGAGTCCAAAGTATTGGAGGTCTTTTGTGAGATTAGCGACACTTATCACGAGGGAGACGTATGGCTTTTCGGCCAAGCTGTTGGCCCGACTATCCTAGATGCTCACTTGGTCCCGCTAATTACCCGTCTTGAAGATTGCGGGAGGCAAGATCTGGTACCCGGGATCTTGGCGGCGTACGCAGGTCGAGTTAGATCGACGGATGCATGGAGAGAAGCGACGCATGGAAGACCAACTATGTGGGATATTTCTATGGGCCATGTAGCTGACATGGAGCTATAGAGATTTCGTTACCAGATTTCATAGTCTTCATTTAGTCGGATCGTGATGCCACCTCTCACTTCCGAAAGACTGTTACACAACCGTTCACATTTCCGCTCAATTATCACGACAAAGGTAACTAGTGCCCCTCCGACGAGACCAAGATCCAAACCCCGATGCCTGTATCCACTCAACAAGTCAGGAACAAATCTGCGTGTTCCCACCAAATGATCCAATCAATTAGCACTATGACCTTCCCGATGAGCTAGAGCAAGCTGCGGCTACACCCGTCATCAATGCTTCGACGATGAACCGTCACACCAAGACAATTTTCTTTTGAATCGTTGCCTAAACGTTTGCAGCCTGTTTGTGAAATCGGTTAGGCCCAAACTGGGTTAGACAATCAGCTACACCGCGTCCTAGGCGGGGCTTTCAATCCTACCCCATGCTGACGGCAGGGATTCTTTGGGAATCTCACGCTCACATTGGTGGGTTCGGTTTCGCCCTGGCGTATCCCACAATTTGTCTTCCGAGGTTGGTGGGCACAGATATTATCTCGGGCTGTCTCCGCTCGCATTCCTGCACCTCGCCCTCGGACTCCCAAAGTTCTTTCTCATCAGGCTGCCCGCTCACCGAGGGCGTCCAACGGTCATTTGCCCCTGACCGGCACGCGCACCACGTCAGTGGCTGGTTCGGACTTGAGACCAACAGACTGACAACAAGGCTGGCTCGAGCCTTTACGGATATTCGTACCGGTTGTCTTGTGTTTCTAGCGGAACTATGGCTCGGAAAGGTAGCCGAAAGGTTAGGACGGGATGTTTAACCTGCAAGTAAGTTCCATCTATTGCCGTCCGATTGGGTTGCGGGAGACGAGCCCGAGAGTAAGGTTTTCAAGATGAGTTGGCGCGTCGTCTAACGCTCGCTAGAGTACGTAAAATCAAGTGCGATGAGAGCAGACCATCCTGCAAGCGTTGTACCGCGACTGGCCGCAAATGCGATGGCTACCCACACGTCGCCGACTTGACAGATGTCTCATCCAGCTCCCCGGGTTCGGGTCCGTCTGTGGTCCTGACGGTCCAGCCAAGTCACGCCTCTCCGGGAGTCAGTTCTCCAAGCGACAACCGCGCTCTGCAATACTTTGCTGAAGCCGTGGGGCCGCTCCTCTCAGGGGCCGTGGATCCTTACTTCTGGACGCACATAGTCATGCAGTTCAGCACATTTGAGCCGGCGGTAACGCACTCCATCCTAGCCATCAGCGACCTCTATGAGCAGTTCCACACCGGGACTGACGAGATCGTTGCCCCGCGGGACTACAGCTTTGCTGTGCGCCACTACAATGCGGCCATGAGAGAGCTGATTGGCATGAAGACGCAGGACAAGCACCCCACGGTCCTGCTTGTCTGCCTCCTGTTCATCTGCATCGAATTTCTGCAGTCTGGGCGCGAAGCCGCTATTAAGCACTGCAAGCATGGGGTCGCGCTCCTTCGAAATACCCACAGCGAGTTCCCCTGGACCAAGGAGCATCTTCTCCCGCTTTTCCGACGCCTCACAGAGTACTCATTCTTCTTCAGCGGCGAAAAGGCCGACTTCCCGGACCTGAGCGGACTGGAACATCCTATGCCCCCAAGCTTTTCCTCATTCCAAGACGCCCAGTTGATGATTGACGATCTCTACTGCCAAACTCTCCAGCTCATGAAGCAAGGATATCCTTTTCGTTCCCTGTCGCCAACGGGAAATGGCGTTCCCCCGAAATTACTAGCGCGGCAAGAATACGTCAATAGTATGCTCGACCGGTGGAGCATTCTCTTCGCCCAGCTGAACAACCAAAGCAAATACACGTCCTCGCCCACAACTAAGGCTTTCGAGGAAAAACCAGATTACGTACCGAACATGCTGCGCGGTTTCCTCTCCACTCGATACGAGTGCTGCCGTATTTGGCTGAATATGGCGTTTACTAACAATTTGACGGGTTACGACAAGTACGTGCCAAATTACAGCCAACTAGCAAAAAAACTCGCCGAAATGGTCGTTCAAATATCAGAACACTCGAAGATGGAAGGCGTCCATGCCAAAACGTCCAAGTTCATGTTCGAAACGGGGTACACGCCAATGTTGTTCTTTTTTACGACGACGTGTCGTCATCTGGAGACGCGGCTGGAATTACTCCGGCTGATGCCCATCCTCGGGCTCCCGCGAGAGAATCTGTGGGAGATGGCGACGCTAGTTGCCGTGGCACGGAGGGTCATTGAGCTCGAACACGGCATTTCGCTGGACCCTGCCGGGCGACCTACGGTCCTGGTCTCACCCTCCGCGCCTCTGCCGCCAAACGAAAAGAGGGTGGCGGATATCTGGACGGAGCCCAAGACTGAAGAAAGAAATATGAACGGGCACGTTGTGCGTGGAAGAGTGGTTGGGTTCTTCAGACGTGATAAGCCTGACGGTGGCACATCTCTTCACACAGAGTTCGTGGAAGTAAGGAATGTCAAGGAGGAGTTGGGCGAGGGAATTGCGACTGTAGTGGTTCCATAGTATATACTTTGTATGAGGGGCCCAAAAGGGATGATCATCAGCTAATACCAAGTCTTCTTGGGGTGACAGGGATCCCGGATTCCCGGCTGTCGGTGTACTTCTTTCTTATCGATCCAGTCAAAATACCAAGTTCAGCAGATGTCTGGTCAATTAATCGCGACGTTTCCGAAATGAACTCTCTAGGAATTTGACAGGGTTGAATATTGCAGTGATAGTGTGTTTGCTCTAAGATTTGTTCAGTTCTTCTATAGTTTGGACGTCGCTCATCTGGTTATTCCACACTTTTGTTGAAAGCGATTTTGTCCGCTTGCGCTCTCGAAACCTACTTGCACACATTCTCCCTCCATGGCTTCGGATTCTGTCTCAACAGAAGACACCACGGAGGCCATTAGCCTGAAAGATAACAGTCACCTTATTCTCACTCTTACTACATTCCAGTCTTTTTGTTAATATTAGCATCGGCCTCATCTCCGCGCGTCATACGCTCCGTGGTAATGACGGTTCCAACTGCTAGTTGCCAAGGTGAAAGAACACATGACCACTCCCACTTAGCTGTCTAACGTACATGCCCCGAGAGGTTCAAGGAAGTTCTCACGCTATGAAACATGTTGCAGACTCGGAGTGATGTGATTAATGGGGATACAACAAATATAATTCCCATGGCTCAGTACAGTCACCAAAAGAAAGAGGCAAAGATGAGACCGGTGTCAAAATGTTACAAAGAAATGTTGCAATCTACTCTTCTCATGACTTTACGTGGTCGAACGCCAATTTCTTGCCTTGCCCTACCAGGTATATATCCCATGCCATTACCTTAGTCGCAAGCTAGCAAACCCTGCCTTGTTCGTAACATGACGTCTGAGTAGTTCGGCCTACAGCTCCGAACGCAATGCGAAAACTTGGGGTACCCCGGGTATTTGCTTCGCTACCGCGCGGATTGCTCAAGACCACATGGAGATACGTCGGAGCTCACGTGGAGTCTTCACCTTTCGGCGTTTGATTGTCACAGCCACGCGCTTCAAAGCACCTCTCGTCTGCACTGTTGTGAGTTTGATCGCAGTATTGAGAGAAGCCCACGCGAAACATTTTCTGAGACAGATGAACTCGACTGGACAAGAATCCTTGGAGATGTTCCGCATAGCGCGTACGGATGTTGTTCGGATATAAAGTCACGAAACCCGCAAAGTCGTCCTTTGCTGACAATTTCTTCCCGGGTCTATAACTTCTATTCTCATTAAGCTTTCGAGGATCCTGGCACACCGAACCACAGCAAACCCCGAGAAGCTTGACGCAATATTCTTTCAAACTCTAAGGGTAGTAATTCCACCTATCGGCCGTCTAAAATGCAACTCACCAAGACCCTGCTCGCACTCGTGTCAATCCTCGCTTTCGCCGGTTCGTCATAACTACGTTACTTAAACCTATTTTTGACACGCAGCATGCTGACTTATGCAGAGGCACAGAAAGCGTGCAAATTCGGCACTTGACAGAGACAACTGGGTGCGTGCTGTGACGGTTCCGGCACAAGCGAGACCCTGAAGAAGGTGAGTCCGTGATGTGGCAGAATAAGCTGAATTTTGCGGGTGACGGTTCATGGGATATTCTAGAGTCGTTGAGTGGGTTGATGGAGTGTAGGTATCGCATCATTGACTTAGGTTGAAGCTCAACTTAGAAGGACGAATTCAATTGTGCGCGACCAATGACAATGCCAACAAGATTGTAGCCATTGGTATCTGACTCACGATTCGTCTGATTGAAGTGCAGCAGAAGGAAATAGAGTTATCGAAATCTCAATTCCCGTCTTGGATCCGGTTGGAACACACTGTTCGTCATCCTGATGCAAACCTACATCTGGGGACCTACCCCCACAAACCCGGCTATGTACTTGAGATAAACTATTCCTATCTCCAAGGCGTTGATGTTCATCTGTTGCAATATCACTCACGAAGAACCTGCTTATCAGATTCTCATATCTACATATATGCCCCAACTACTTAGCACCGTCTTTCTGATGTCTCTGGTACACGGCTTGCCGAATTTGCCCTGATGTCATCATATTGCCACTGATTGGGACCTATGAAGTATTACGTGTGTGAGTCGCCATTCGGAAACTCTGGCATCATATGCTCATCAGATTATTTTGACTGTCCCATGTTGAAAAGTCTCTCGGTTTTGATGAGATCGCCATCATCAAAAATTCGTACGTATAATAGGGCGATATGCCAAAGTCGCGCCAAAAGTGTGCCCGTGATACCATATCGCAATGGCACCGATTCCCGTTCCGCCTTCGTACGTGTACCCGACTCCTTTCTATTCTATTGCCAGTTGTCTGTATTTGAATCAAAAGACAGGACGTGAACTTTTCGTAAATTTCGTCGTGATCTCAACGCCCACTTCGCTGCTCATGCCTGGGCACCTCGTAATTCGGCGGCACTTATTTCAATGTCGTCTTCATCTTCCAAGTGCCTCCCTTCCCTCTTGAATGTCTGATCTGCGTCAGCTTCGTCGTCGTCTCGCACGCAGCGCTCGCCTAGTTCTGTATCGGCGTCATCAAGTGCTTCTGCTGTTTCGAGGCCGATTGTTGTCGGCGTTTTTGATCGCCTCTGCTCCCAACTCTTTCTCGTGCTCGTGCTGTTGCCGTCGGGATCAAGCGGAATAGTAACGGCATCATCCCTTAGTGTGGATATGCCGCGCGATGGTCGTGTTAGGGTTCGTAAGGTCGACTCTTGGCTAGGTGACGTAATCCAGTTGATCACTAGGGCCGAGAAAAATACTAATAGGCCTTGGTCAGACTTGTCTACGTGAGGCCCCGCGCGAACACTTACTATCGGTGTTGCAGCATAGCAAGCACAGCCATGCCACCTCCCCATTCAAAGCCATGAGAACACTCAAATTTCTGTAATACTGGTCAGTGCTAGTTCTCGTCAAACCATCAGTGAAGAACTTACGTCACACTACTAACAAGAGTGCAGCAAGAACCAATGAAAGTGCGTATCACGAGTTTTCGTAGCCGAACATTGGGTGGAGCTCTGGGGATACGACGATTACGCCAGTCCAATGTCCATGGCTTCCAGAAATTATACTTTACGGAGTGTAGACCTGAGCAGCATCAGCAACCGTACAACTTAAGTGTGTCTTCAGTGGCTTACTCAGTAAAGGAAGTAAAAACAAAATTGTGAGATAAACCTGGTCTACGTTAGATCAAGGTGGATGTCACGAGCTGAACGTATACTCACGTTCACAGCTGCGTCGAAAGAGATAAGTGGCAGCAACACTGGCTGTTCCATCCCAATAATGCAGATGCCATTCTCGAAATGAGTAATTCGGCTGGGGAGACTATTAGCCGGAGGAGAGTCTCTAGAGTTATCCAGGCATACAAAATAAAGTTCATGATAACAACCAGGACGAACACGCCTAGCAGAGAGGTTAGTTCAAAAAGAATATGCGTGATAGAAGCTTTGAAGCGTACCCAACATGCCGAATGAGTTGAAAAGATAGAGTTTCGACTTTAAGCGCCTTTTTCTCGTTTGTCTAATGATGTGCTACACATTGATGTGAGTCACAGGAGTCAAATATGTCGCACAGATTCACTTACTGCCCTATCAACCATGAAGAGGTAGATGAACTGTTCACCTTGTTAGATACCGCTCTGGTGCACACGACTGACACGCTCTTACCAACTTATTCCGTGATTAGTCAAAGATATCACTGAGAGTTGCGATGAGTCTAGCTTACCTTGGTAGACACATATGCCCCCAAACAGAAAAGTGTCGCGGCGGAACAAGTGTCGAAGTTCAGATCGGCTCCGAATCCAAATTGTAGGATTGAAGTGCCGAATACAAACAGAAAGGAGAAGAAGTAGATAAGTACAACGACTTTGAAAGTTAGTAAACCTCATGGACAAAGGCGTATAATCGCGAGGGCTCCTTACGCCACATCGTCCACGGTAATGCCTTCCAGTCCTTCACTGATGTCCATCTCATCACTGTCGAGATGTTAGCACATTACGTTCGACGTCGAGTTTGTCATGAAAGCACTGACCAAAAAGACTAGCAAGGAGACAGGCCGATATCATGGCGACGATGATGCTGACGACCTTTCCGGCGAGAGGCTCCGCCTCATGATTGATGCTTAAGCGGCGCATCACCGCCTCGACGCGTTCCAACCCCATAGCTCCAGCTCCTGCGTGCTGTCGCGAATTGCTATTGAGGCCCCATTAAGACAATTATTGTTAGTTTCCAGCCCGGGGAAGCCGATCCTAGATGTGCCGAGTGGAAGCGGAGGTGCGTGAGTGAAAACAGGGCGAAGCGGAGGCCCGCGATGAATCAATGTTTCGAGGTCCCTTGACGACGACGAGAAAACTGGTCGATGCTTCCGTTGACACTTGCTCGTTTGTCCTTGTAGAGGATAAAATGGTGCGCTCTCTTCAGTCCGGTGAGGCGGGAGGGGGTGATGGGGAAATCTGTGAAACAGCACGGGGCAACAGGGAAAGATGGGCATTGATTGGGAAACTTTAGCATTGCTCTTTGGGGAGCGGGATCAATCGGATCTTGGTCCTCATGTATGGAAATCTAAGGGATTCCTGCGCACGCTCTCATAGATAGCTGCCGCACGTGGCATCCTAGTGCCGTGCGTGTGCGCGGAATGTCCAAGCGGTGATGAACAAATACCGTCAACTCTCGACGAATAGAGTTTTGGTCAAACGCGCCATGCAACGGTAGGATGGTGGCTTACCAGCCAGACCTGACTCGTGTTCTGCCTCTTTCCATCCCCGACGTTGCCTACGGCAAACTTGTTCCGTCACGGCTCGTTCTCGCTTGGACCGGGGGCATTGGGTTTAATCCAGGAATTGACTCTCTGGATCCGTTGACAATGGAACAATGGAAGGAGATGGCGTAGCCACGTGACACCGCCACGGGTCCGATCACTTGGGACCGGGTTTCTGTCTTCGTCATCCGAGCACTCAGGGTCTTATGCGAGCAAAGGTTCTTCCGATTTTT